ATACTTTTAATATTTACTTTTATAATTTCAAATATTTTTTAATCCCAAACCAGACCGTAAAACTATAATAATCTAAACAAATAATCTCTAGTTGGAGTTAATAGTTCACTGAAAATAAAAATGTGCTGAAAATGTACTCACCCAAGATGTAGATGAGTTTATTTCTTCATCAGAACAGATTTGTAATTAGGCATTACATCACTTGCTCACCAATGGATCCTCTACAGCAGGGGTGTCAAACTCAGTTCCTGGAGGGCCACAGCCCTGCATAGTTAGATTCAACCTTAATTAAACACACCTAATCCAGCTAATCAAGTCATTTAGGCTTATTTGAAAACTACATGATATATATGTTGGAGCAGGACTGGAACTAAACTCCACAGGGCTGCAGCCTGCGGCCCTCCAGGAACTGAGTTAGACACCTGTGCTGTGCTCTACAATAAATGGGTGCCATCAGAATGTTCAAACAGTTGATAAAAACATCACAATAATCCACAAGTAATCCACACCACTCCAGTCCATCTGTTAACATCTTGTGAAGTGAAAAGCTGCATGTTTGTAAACAAATTGATCATTAAGATAGATCAAGCACCATTTACAAGCAAAAACAGTTCTAAACAAATATGTCTGATGGAGTTTGATGTGAAAGCACAACAGGGGATGGACCTTTTCACTGGAGGAAGCATTATTATGGATTATGGGCTGATATTTTGGCTAGAAGCATTGAATTTGGATGTGTTTCTCACAAACACACAGCTTCTCACTTCCTGTCAAAGCAAAGGTTGAGGCCATAGTTGATTTTCCTGTTCCAGGATGTAGACTCCTAGGTATAGCGGACTATAACTTTTGAGGCAAATTTTTCTTATACCTCAAACGTAACACAGCATGAATACTCATTTTGATTGGCTTACTGTGAGGCAGCTAAAGACATCAACAGCTCACACGCCATTATAATTAAGTTAGATTAAAACATCATTAGTTTCACCACATTGTGCACTGAAATCAGCATGCAGACAATAAAGCAATCAAACAATTTGATTCCAAAACCAATGATAGCAAATTATGTTATTGCAGCGCATTGCATAAGAACACCCACTGCACATTCACACTCGGACATCTAGGCCATATTGGACATGAAAGAACATTTCCTCATGAGGTCTAGGTATAGGAAGGCTCCCCGAGGAGCTCTTTAATTCCTTCTAATTAAATCAGTGGATGCAAGAAATGGTGGGGAAAGTCTGACCTGACCTATTCTGTAAGAAAACTGTGTGCCCCATTTTACCCTATTGTTGACTGACTCTAAATATATGTGTATATATATATAAACGAG